CCACAAGAGACACAGACCAGGTGAGTTAGGAGGCAGAGGCAGGGGGCAGAGACAGGATGCAGAGAGGATTTGGGTCCCCTTCCTGCCCACGATACACAAAACGATGATCCGCTGAACACCCAGCATGTACGAGAATGGAAACAACCCTTCTAACCGAAGTGTAAACTCTCATCTACCTGCCACCCAGTCTCAAGATAAGAGCGATGACCTGAGTGTGTGGATAGAACCCACAATGCAATGAAGGGCACATTTAGAGATACTGTTACGGGAGCCATGTTGTTAGAATTTGTCAAGTAGGCACACAGGGAAAGGACAAAAGCCAGATGACAAATAGTGCTAATTCTCCCTGGGAATATTCATATGGAAACTGAAGTAATCTGTCTATACCCACCCTCCAAAGGGTACAAACAATAAGCCCTTATGAAACCATCAGCAGGGCTTAAAAATGAAAGCACACTGAGCTTTAGCGTTCATTTAAATACACAGCTACACCGTTCCATATACGCAATAGAAGCAGGCTTTACCCAGCCAGCAGCCTTAGACAAAACTGTACCATCTGAACTCTATAACCACACAGCCCAGAGGATATAATTATCATATTCAACACAAGAAGTATACATACATAAGAACAGGTAATTATTCATAAAATAACAGTGCAAAGACTACTTCAATAAAAGTCTTAAAAAATAATCACTATTTACTTACAAGCATAATAATTGTTGCAAGCAATCTTGTTGTTTCAAACATTTTCTTCAGTTGCTTCACAGGTCCCATTAAAAAGCATGTACTATTAGAAACAAATAAAATTAGCTGAGGTACAGGTTCTACTAATTTATCTGGTTATGCAAAAATAAACCCCTTTTTAGAAAAAGAAACCCTGTTGGTTTATTTAATTAAAATCTCTCACTAAATCTGTTTTATTTTTTTCCTTAACTTATAAAGAAACTTTACAACTATTCCAATAGACATGCTATGGGTTTGAAGGTGCCGTGAGTATGGTGGTATGAAGCACGGATGGACGTGGCTGTGAGAACTCAGAACTCCTCCCTCTGAAAGGGATCAAAGGCCCTTAGAGGAGGGGCTGCCTGGAGGCTGCTCTTTCCTCCTGGGAGGACACTGGGATCTTCCCCTAGTGCTATGCATCCATCAGCAGGAAATCTAGCCTGCCAAGTGCCTTAACCTTGGACTTCAGGCCTCCAACTGTGAGACAAACTTCTATTCTTCCTAAGTTACCCAGTCTACAGTATTGCTACTGCAGCACAAAAGGGACTATGACAATTAACAACCCAAAGATATATCAAAGATTCTCGAAGAAGGATTCCCATCCTCCCCATCTAAATGAGCCCTCAGTCACTGCTGCCACACCCTATGTTAATTCTCTGCACAGCACCAATGCCATCCGATCTTTTCCTAGATTATGTGAACATCTTCATTAAAATGTAAGCTCCACAAGAGCAAGGCCTAGAGTGCAGCAGCTACCAGTCTGGGCTCTGAAGCCCACTGTCTGCAGGATTCCTGCCTCACCCATGCATAAGGTTCATCGCCACCGGCAGCACTGACTCCCCTGCTCTGTGCTATTATCTCCAGCTATAAATGGGATGATACTACTACTTACCTCATAAGCTTGTCATAATACATATAAACACTTTACAACAGTCCCAGACATACAGTAAGCGCCCCCAAAACGCTGGCTATTCCTAGCACTACCACCGTCTGTTACGGGAGATGGCATATAGCAGCGGTCAATACATACTTATTTAATGAATGTAAATCTTGTGGCTGAATTCACAATATGTACAGAGTTACAGAAACATCCTATTAGGAAAGTGCTTATTAGAAAGGCACATTTGGTAGCAAGAGCAAACAAGATATTTTGAGAAGCAAACTTGGCTACGTACCTGGCTAATGCAGCAAGATTGCCCAGGGTGTAAAACACTGCAAAAAGCTTTATGCCGCCCGGAAGCCACAGCAATCCAGTTCCCTAAGATACCATCATTATTTAAAAATGCTTTTATGATTTTAACGGTTAAAATATAAATGTGCTACTGTAATACAATTTCAATGTAATAATATAATGTTTAAATGCAAATCTGCTTGTAGATACTCTAGTCTGATTACACAGAAAAAAGTTAATTTTCAATGTTATACGCTAACTTGAATCTTCTTCCTATTTGCACTAGCATATATAAATGAGCCATAATAAAACTCTGTGCTTATCAGTAAATCTCACTCTATGTTAGTTAAATATTCATGTTAAATGGCAAGTATGAAAAGTAATAAACATCTAAATTACTGACTCTCCAGATCTTTTAACACATTGATAAATTTTTCTTAAATTATTTCAACAATCCACAAAACTCCCCAAAATATTAATTTCTACATATTTTCATTGATCTCTACCTCTTTATTTCAGTTCAATTAATATGTTCCACCAAAACAGTCTAACAGGGATTTAGTAAAGTACATTCCTTTTTGGTACTAAATGGAATTATTAGTCTAATACAATACAAAATAAAAATTATTAAACAATATAAAGCCTTAACTCACAAGAATAGAAAACAAAATGCCACATACGAAGCAGATGGCAAACCATTTCAATCTGGTGTTGAAACTAAGAGACGAGGCATCCAGGACCTTAACAAAGAATGGGAAATTTTAGAATATATTCTTAATTCACTATTTACCAATCTGATTCTTTATACTAAATTAAAGCAAAGTTTTAACACATAGTCTGAATCATCTATTTTGCATATCATAGTGTCACTTACAAATATTAAGATTCCACGGTTGTTACAGGCAATATAACCATGGTCTGGGTAGCAGATGATATTGAGGAATAACCATTAATTTTGCTAAGTCTGATAATGTGTTTCACAAAAGTCCTTATCTGTTGGGGACAGCCAATATACACTGATATGGATAAAATGACATAGGAGATACATTATAAAATACACAAAGATTAAAAAATACAGGGGGCAGATGAAACAAGCCAGGTAAAACACTGAAACTCTTGAGGCTGGGAAAGAGTATGCAGGGTTCACTATCAGTTCTTTCAGCCTCCATAGGACAAATTCCTTAGGCTCTGAGATGCAGAGTCTGAGGGGAGACAGGAACTGCTCTCAGCAGAAACCTTTAAGAACTGAGGGAAGCAAGATAGAGAAGCGGAAGGAACCAATCAACAACATGGTTTCACCCAGAGGACAGCTTGGGCCTGCAGTGCAAACGCACTGCAGTGAAAGTCCTGCCCTGAGGCAGAGGCTGGCCTTCTAGATGCCACCTCCCTTTAGCCGGTCATTGGCTGCAGGGTGGGGTGGAGTGGGATGACACCATCCAGGGTAGAGGATGCTGGCCACCTACAGAAGGGAGCCCGAGCAGTCCCAGCAGAGACCATCACAGCACTCACCAGACGGTGCCCATTCTAAGTTCTTTCAATCCAACCCATAAAAGCTTTGGGCCCCCTCCTCACCCACTGTAGAAACACATTGTGAAAAGATCATTTATTCTAGAGCAGCATTCCTATATGCTATGCAAATTCTAGCCAAATTATGTGGGGAAAAAAGTAGAAATTACATCTACTTTATACAGTATGTAACCCAGCATACAGTAGTGGTGAACTAAACACAGATTATTATACTATTAAAACATATTTTCCCAATAAGGCTGAAAAAGTATCTATTAACAGTAACTGTGTCAAAAAACTAGAAATATACAGTAAGGATTTACATTCCAAAATTTAAATTTCTAATTTATACTACCCCATCCACTTAAAAATACAACTATATGCTTATAATATATTTTCAAGAATAATGAAAAATGAGAAAGTTTTACATGCAATAGCTCAAAATACATTTGGTTACATTCCTTACCTCAAGAGATTAATGTGTGAATCCTTATGTAGCATGAAAAGTAGATAAAAATAACTAAGTATTCTGTAATGACACATATATCACTCTTCAATACACTTTAAATGTTTTTTAAGTTTTAATTCACAGACATTCTTGTTTCCAGCAATGTCATCTATTTATAGCAAAACTAAACACTTGATTTTAAACAAGTGAAATTGCCTATAAAAACATCTAAATTTCATTTTTACTGATCAGGAAGAATACACAGTAACTATATTTTAACTACACAGGACAGAATAAGCTGGAAAGACTGAACTACATAGCAAATGATCTGTTTTAAAAAAATGGAGACATGTTCATTAGCTTGGTTTAGCCATCCCACAAAGTATACATGTCAAAACATCATGCTGTACACAACATATACAATTTTTATTTGTCAATTAAAAATGGAAAGAATAAACTAATGATTTCTATAGATTAGTGTGAGTCCACAATGATGTGAGGATTTAATGAGAGGAAAGCATCCATTTTTACTTCTAAGTTTAAATCACAAGTTAAATTGTTGGTTTTCAATAGCCAGTTTTCTCTCAGCATGAAACGGCATGGTTATTTGTATAATAGTAGGTATTTTTTCCTCTTACTGCCATCTTCTATGTATTGATCTTTAAAGCGAAACAGCATGACAAATTATTTTCATTTGTAAACAATGGAATATTCTATCCACAAGCAAATGATTTGTCAAGTCTTGCAAATTGTCCAGGATACAGAAACAAACACAGATTTCCTAACTCCTAATTGGGAAAACTGCAAAATGCTTCCAACATGAAAGAAAACCTGGCAGTGCATCTTCCAACCAGGAGACAGATGGAACTCTGAGCCCCCAGGTTTGCTTATAAGAATTTTTTTTTTTTTGACAGCTTCACTCTGTTGCTCAGGTGTGATCTCAGCTGAATGCAACCTCCACCTCCCAGGTTCCAGTAATTCTCCTACCTCAGCCTCCAGAGTAGCTGGGACTACAGGCCCACACCACCACACCTGGCTAATTTTTTGTATTTTTAGTAGAGATGGGGTTTCACTATGTTGGCCAGGCTGGTGTCAAACTCCTGACCTCAAGTGATTGCCTGCCTCGGCCTCCTAAAATGCTGGGATTACAGGCGTGAGCCACTATGCGGGCCTGCTTAGCATAAGCATTTATGTGCTGCCTTCTTTTACCACCAATCAGGAGCAATCCCAACAAAACCAGCAACTTTGTTAATTCTTAAATTTAGTCTTACAAAAGAAACAAAATTGCCACCTCTTCCTCTCCCCAAATCAAATCATTATACTTATTTGTTGCCACAGGAAGAGGAAGCCAGGAGAACATGCTGCCCTTCAGCAAGCGCCACACTCCCCATTCTCAGGCGCTCTCTTCCTGTCGCAATAAACACAGCACTGCTTGCAGCTAGTACTTCATTAATATTTTTTTAAAAAGTAGGTGAGAAACGTTACAGATGAAAATGTAGTCCTAGCAGCAACAACATGAAGACTGAATGAGTGGTTCCCACAGCACAGCTGAAACCCACTCCTGTAAGTGACGGAGAAGCTGGGGAACGGCTCTAATCCACGAAGCGCCAGGAAACAGCGGAGCTGGAAGGACCTGAGCCTTGCTCCTGGGCTACTGCCATCTCAACACAGGAAACACACACAGCTTTTGACTAATGATGACACTGAACCCAGTATTCCTCCCACTTCTTTTTCAAAATACCCATGGGTATAAAAAGACAAAGCTGTGTAGACAAGTGAGAAAAAGACACAGGCATCTGCAGACCCTCTGGGGTGGGCTCCACCCCATACCCTCCTCCAGGAGCTCTGCTCCTCAGGGTCATTCCAGGCAGAACTGCCGCTCCCCCAGCTCCCTGCTCACCACACCTGCTGCTGGGGGCCACACTTTTGAGAGCCATCCTCTTCCTCCTCCTCATTCAGCACTCTTCATCACAGGGCCTACCCGGATCCTTGCAGCAATCCGCACGGTTTCCACGTCCACGTGGGCAGCCTGGCCTTTCTGTTCCTCATGCCCTAATCTCCAATGGCCTCTACCCTCCACTCCACTCAGCGACCCATCCCAAGGAAGTCTTTGAACCCGAAATTACCCATCTCCAAAATTCCAGCTGCCACTCTCTGACCTGTTTCTTCCTGGCAGCAGGCTGGTTCCTTGGCTCCCATCATGCTGACTGCTTAGCCTTCTGGACGCCTCATCAGCCGTTCTCCTCTCCTTTTTTCAGTGGCTTCGACAGGACATTCAAATTCCCTTTCTGCTGCCTCCACCTGGGAAAATCCAGAGTGCTGCTTTCCCTCGTCTTGCTCTAGGAGGTGCTGAGCTGAGCACTGCTGGGTGGAGTCAGGCACAGGGCAGGGGTTCCTGAGCCTGTCCTCATCAGCCCCCCACAGCCTGCAGACGCCACTGCCTGGCAAGCTAAGGCTTCTTGTTTTACCTCAACCTGCATTTTACTCTAACTCGCTTTAAACCTCTACTTCCTGCCCCATGCTTCCATTCTTAGCAGATAGCCTCCCCTACTTCACACACAGAAACCCAAAGCCATCAATGGGAACTCCCTTACCTTCCTACTGCTACCAAACCACCAAACCCAGAAAGAACACCCATCCTCTCGTCCTTTCCTGTTTCCCACAGAGCTGAGATCCACCTGTCCACCCTGCTTTACAGCCAACCCCTTACCTGCTCAGCGAATTTATGCTATCGGGCTTTTTCCTCTAGTGAACCATGTTCTCGCTGTCTGAAACTGTGTCCATCAACTTTTAAACATGCTGAAGCCCCTTCCATCTTAAACAAACAGACTTCACCTTCTAGCCCCTGCACATTCATCCATCCATCCATCCATCCACCCACCCACCCACCAACTGGCTCAATAAACACTGAGTTCTGCTATGTGCCTGTCCTAAGTGCTGGGTAAGGTGTCCAGCTCCTGGTTAAAAAATCTATGTGCTGGCTGCTACAACAAATATACCAAAGGCCAAGCACTGTGGCTCATGCCTGTAATCCTAGCACTTTGGGAGGCTGAGGCAGGCAGATCGCTTGAACCCAGGTTCAAGACCAGCTTGGGCAATATGGGGAGACCCAATCTCTACAAAAAAATACAAAAATTATCCAGGTATGGGGGCACATGCCTGTGGTCCAGGCTACTCGGGAGGCTGAAGTGGGAGGATCACCTGAGCCCGGGAATTGGAGGTTGCAGTGAGCCAAAATCATACCACTGTACTCCAGCCTAACTCAGAGTCACTCAAGGAGCCTGAAGTGCTGTGGAGGCTCATCACCAGAGGGTTGAGCTTTGAAACAACTGATGAGAACCTGAGAAGCCATTTTGAGCAATTGATATCCAAACACCAAGCACTCCAGGGGCTTTCACTATGCCACTGTGGAGGAGGTGGATGCAGCCATTAATGCAAGGCCACACAAGGTAGACGGAAGAGCTGTGGAACCAAAGAGCTGTCTAAGAAGATTCTCAAAGACCAGGTGCCCACCTAAATGTGAAAAAGATATGTGTTGGTGGCATGAAAGAAGACACTAAAGAACATCACTTAAGAGATCCTCAACAGTATGGAAAAACTGAAGTGACTGAAATAATGACTGACAGAGGCAGTGGCAACAAAAGAGGCTATGCCTTTGTAGCCTTTGACAACCATGACCCTGTGGACAAGACTGTCACTCAGAAATGCCATACTGTGAATGATCACAACTGTGAAGTTAGGGAAGTCCTGTGAAAGCCAGAAAACGGTGAGTGCTTCATCCAGCCA